CAAACTCTATTTACGAGGCCACAATCACCTTGGTACCCAAGCCACACAAAGACACTACTAAGAAAGAAAACTACAGACCAATATCCCTCATTATATTGATGCAAAAATACTCAATAAAATAGTGGCAAACCGAATCCAAGAATACATCAGAGAAATCATCCACCATGGCCAAGTATGCTTCATCACTGGGTAGCAGGGATGGTAACATATGAAAAATCCCTAGATGCTGAAAAAGCCTTCGACAAAATTCAACACCCTTTCATGATAAAGGTCTTGGAGAGATCAGGAATAACAGGAACATACCTAACATAATAAGAGCAATATACAGCAAACCAACAGCCAACATCAAACTGAATGGAGAGAAACTTAAGGCAATTCCTCTAAAATCAGGAATAAGACAAGGCTGACCTCTCTCTCCATATCTCTTCAATATCGTACTAGAAGTTCTAGCTAAAGCAATAAGACAACAAAAGGCGAACAAAGGGATAGAAATTGAAAAGGAAGTAGTCAAACTTTCACTATTTGCAGACGATATGTTAGTTTACATAAGCAACCCAATAAACTCTACCAGGAAACTCCTACAGCTGATAAACACCTTCAACAAACTAGCAGGATACGATAAACAACAACAACAACAAAAGCAAAACAAAACAAAACAAAAAAATCAGTAGCCCTACTACTACATACAGATGACAAAAGGACTGAGATAGAAATCAGAGAAACATCACCCTTTACAATAGCCACAAACAACATAAAGTATCTTGGGGTAACATTTACCAAACAAGTGAAAGACCTTTATAGCAAGAACTTTGTGTCTTGAAAGAAAGAAAGTAAAGAAGATACCAGAAAATGGAAAATCTCCCATGCTCTTGGATAGGTATCAGGGAAATAAAAATCAGCACATCTCTGAGATACCATCTTACTCCTGTCAGAATGGCTAAAGTTAGAAAAAGCAATGACAACTTATGCTGGAGCGGATGTGGGTGAAGGGGAACACTCCTCCACTGCTAGTGGGAGAGCAAACTTGTACAGCCATTTTGGAGATCAGCGTGGTGGTTCCTCAGGAAAATGGGAATCAGTCTACCACAGGACCTGGCAGTCCCACTCTTAGGCATATACCCAAATGATCCACATCCATGCAACAAAGACATATGTTCAACTATGTTCATAGCATCATTATTTATAATAGCAAGAACCTGGAAGCAATCTAGATGCCCCTCAACTGAAGAACAGATTAAGAAAATGTGGTATTTTACATAATGGAGAACGTCAGACTAGGAAGATTGAGTCAGGAGAGGAATAGACGGGGGCGGGGGGTGCCATAAAAGAGGGAGCCATTATAGGTTTGAAGAGAAAAACTGAATCTAGAGAAATGTGCAGAGACCTGCAAGACTGACCCCAACTAACAATTTGAGCAAAAGTGGAAAGGCTACCATAAAGGTCCTCCCAGATAATGAGAGTAATAACTAACTTGTCCACCATCATAGAGCCCTCATCTAGTAGCTGATAGGAACAGAAGCAGACACCCACAGCTAAACACTGAGCCAAACTGGAATCCAGATGCAGAGAGGGAGAACAAGACCAGGCTACAGAAACCCACAGAGACAGCTGACCTGAACAGAGAGGAGCTAATGGCCCCTCTGCCTGATAGCTGGTAAACCAGCATTGAACCAACTCAGATCCTCTGAACATGGGTCTCAGTTAGAAGGCCTGGGCAGTTTAAGGGACCTTAGACAGTGGAACCAGGATGTTTCCCTGGTGCACAAAAGAACTTTGGGAGCATATTCCCCATAGAAGGATACTCCCTTAACCTAGAGGCAGGAGGGAGGACCTAGTCCCTACTCCAAATGACTTGACAGATTTTCTTGTCCCCTCCTGAAAAGCATAACCCTACCTGTGGAGTAGGGGGGGTGAATGGGATGGGTGGGAGGTCGAAGAACATGGGAGAGAGGAAGAGATAAAGGGAAAGAGGGAGAGGGAACAGGTAAAATAAGAAAAACAAATAAAACATAAGAAAAGAAGAATACATTTTTTAAAAAAGAAATAAAGTACTGTAATGACAATGTAAGCATATCTAAAAGTTAGTGCAGTGTATTCCAAGAGACAATTCTCTCCCCATCTACTTCAGACAATAAAACACACAGTAAAACCTTAATATTTGAACATCATTGTTCCAGGATCATGGGATCTATATTATCTATAAGAAGACACACATCTTGATTCTTTGTTTCAGTCATACTGAAAAAAAAGATCCAAAGGTGTGGGTGCAAATATTTCACTAGACCCAAGATAAATGATAAATGGTTGTTTATTAGGGAACACTTACACAGGAAAATAGAAAGAACTGTTGGAGTGTTTCTGTGCCCTTCGTACCAGATCGTCTGACCCAGGAGAAAACAAAAGCCGGACTTCAAGCTTCTTTCTTTCTGCTTCCGTCTGCGTGAAGCCACACCCAAAGGGATATGGCTACAGATACGGGTTCACAGACAAGATGCCTACAAAGAATGTACGTATATTTTGTGGTTTGAATAGGTATGACCTCCATAGACCTGTGTTTGAATGTTTGGGACATAGTGAGTGACACTATAACAAAGTATCACCTTGTTGGATTAGGTGTGGCCTTGGAGGAAATGTGCCACTGTTGGGATGGGCTTTGAGGTCTGTTATATGCTTAAGCTACACCCAGTTTGGTACACAGTCTCATGATGTTTATACATTGTTGAGGGTTTGTGCCTTTTTTCTTTTATTTTTCTCTCACACATTACATCCTGATTGCAGTTTTCTTTCCTTCCATTCCTCCGTGCCTCCCCCATCTTCCTTCTCCCTAAGATCTATTCCTCCTCCATTTCCCTTAGGAAAACATTTCAGGTTTACCCTGGATATCCATCAGACATAGCCAAAATTGTACAATAAGATAAAGGACAAACCCTCATATCAAGGCTGGGTGATGCAGTACATTAGGAGGAAAAGGGTCCTAAGCCAAGGCAAAAGAGTTGAATACTCCCACTGTTGGGAATGCAAGAATACTAAACTAAACAAGCATAAAGTATATGTAGAGAATGTAGATTAGACCCACATGAGGTCCATGCTTATTGCTTCAGTCTCTGTGACCCCCTATGAGGACGGCTTGATTGCTTCTGTGGACCAGTGCTGGTGGTGTCCTCAAACATTCTGACTCCTACAATCAGTTCTCCCCTCCTCTCCAGGGTTCACCTGGCTCTGCCTAGTTCTTGTCTTTGGGTCTGTGCATCTGATTCCATCAACTGCTGGAAACCCCTCAGATGACAATTGGGCTAGGCACTGACCTATGTGTCTAGCAGACTATCATTAGGAGTCACTTCATTGACTTATTTTTTTCCAGTTGTGTTTGGTTCTATCCTGCGTCTCTGGGTTCTCCTGGCTCTGATTTCTGAGCATCTAAACAGTGTCAAGATTGGCCTCCCTCTTAGGGCATGGGTCTCACGTTGCACCAGTCATTGGTTGGCACTCCCACAAGTTCTTCACCATTTTTATCCCAGCATGTCTTACAGGCACGGCAGATTTTAAGTCGAAGATTTTGTGGTTGTGCTAATATCCCAGGCCCACTAATAGGAGCCTTGCCCAGTTATAGAGGATGGCCAGTTCATGCTCCTTCCCCCCATTTGTAGTGAGATAGTCCTTCTGCGGCACTGACCACGCCCATTGGGGGGGTGGAACGATGGGCGGAAGTGACCTGTGGAAGGAGGTCGGAGAGAGAGCCGGGAAAAGCTCTTTTGCTGGCCTGACTCGGACAGGAGAGCATCGGGTTGAATTTCCTGGTGTGCATCTGTCTAGGTTGTAAGTTATTTCTCCCTGAATAAACATCTATTCGGCCTATTTGTTTATCCTGATCCTTATTTAACCGTGATATTTGGTGTCAGAAGCGGGATTAGGATTTTCACGGGACCTGGGTTTCACCCAGGTGGCAGACCCATTATTAGTAGACTTTGCTAGCATCACTGTCAGATTTCAGCCAGTTTCCATCATACTAGTTTTCTACATCTTTTCCTAAATGGCTGTCCATTCCAATCAACTATTCCATTACTCACTGCCTCCATCTCTCCTACCCCCATCTGATCCCTCTTGGTTCAATCCCCACACACTCCTAGTCTGCCTCAAAAATATATTCTATTTCCCCTTCCCTGGAGATTCATGGGTTTACTCCTGAGCACTCCTTGTTACTTAGTCTCTCTGGGTCTGTGGGTTGTAGCATGATTACCCTTTACTTAACAGTTGTCCATTTATAAGTGAGTACATAGCATATTTGTCTTCCTGGGTTTCATACCTAAGCCCTCACATTCTGTATTGAGCCCAGCTCTTTCAATAGGACCATGTACTACCATAGTAGTGAGCCTGGAGCAGTAAGCACTCTTCCTACTTCAGTTATCTAAATGCTTTCTCTCTATTGTTGCTTTTCTGGTATACAAGTTTGGAGGAATAATTAATGGGTTCAGCACATATTGTTTGAGAGATTTTCCCTGGAGAGACACAATATTTATATGCACCCACTCAGCTAAAATGGGAACTGACAAGTGAACCAAGTATGCTTGTTCCTGAAATACATCTTTTTGAACCAACAGGCTTTATTGGGGTTGCTCACATAAATCATGGAAATGGAGTCGCTTACAAGAACAAAAGTGAATAGAAGACAGTTGCCATCATGAAATGTCAAACCAGCATGAAACACAGCTTATGAACACTGTACACCCAGAGAATACTACATACCTACAGGCATATCTACATGTTAAAGGGCATTGTATCTTACTGGTTCAATTCACAAAAGCCTCTTCTAAACAGCAAAACTGGTATAAGTTTCTTCAGTGGGATTAAGCATAGTGATTCCTGACAGTTTCAGGGACTTCTTGAAGCTATTTTTTTATTTACTGTCTTAATCAGCTTCCCTACAGGATGGAATGTTTCAGGCTCTGGAAAACTGCCAAACAACAGCACTTTCTTCAGGCTTCTCAATTTTGTATTCATTATGATTTGAAGGTGAGAAAGTAAAATGTTTTACTGAAAATTTTCTTGCAATATCACATTTGCAGAATTTTTCCTCAGAACAAAGTCTGGATTTTGTTTTCTAAGATTTGAATGTTATTCAAAGGCTTTCATACATTTCTCATGTACAGACTGATTCCCCAGTGTGGATGCTGTAATGGTCCATAAGTGTAGAGCTTGGATAAAGAATATGCCATATTACTTCAATAAAAAGATTTGTCTTTAGTATATTTTCTGATGTTTTCTTAGACCTGAGAGACAGGTAAGGAGTTTGCCATATACATTGCATTTATAAGGTTTCTCTCCTGTATCAACTCTTTGATGAGTTCTAAGGTTGGCTTTCTGGATAAGGGATTAGTCAAATTCACTGCATTGGTAAGATTTCTTCCAGTATGAATTTTCTGATGTTTTCTAAGAACTGAGCCACCAGCAAAAGATTTCTCACATTCACTACATTTGTAAGGTTTCTCACCTGTATGAAGTCTCTGATGAGTTCTAAGATGGTCTTTCTGGATAAAGCATTTGTCACAGTAACTACATTTATATGGTTTCTCTCCTGTATGGATTTTTTGATGTGTTCTAAGATTGGCTTTCTGGATAAAGCATTTGTCACATTCACTGCATTTGTAAGGTTTTTCTCCTGTGTGTATTCTTTGATGTCTTCTAAGGTGGGCTTTCCGGATAAAACATTTGTCACATTCATTGCATTTGTAAGGTTTTTCTCCAGTATGACATTTCTGATGCTTCCTAAGATCCGAGCCAACAGTGAAAGATTTACCACATTCATTACATTTGTAAGGTTTTTCTCCTGTATGAATTCTCTGATGAGTTCTAAGATTAGCTTTCTGGATGAAGCATTTCTCACATTCATTGCATTTGTAAGGTTTTTCTCCTGTATGAATTCTCTGATGTCTCCTAAGGTTGGCTTTACGGATAAAGCATTTGTCACATTCAGTGCATTTGTAAGGTTTCTCTCCAGTATGAATTTTCTGATGTGTTCTAAGATCTGAGCCAACAGTAAAGGATTTTTCACATTCGCCACATTTGTAAGGTTTCTCTCCTGTGTGAATTCTCTGATGTTTTTTAAGCTTGGCTTTCTGGATAAAGCATTTGTCACATTCACTACATTTGTAAGGTTTCTCTCCAGTATGAATTTTCTGATGCATTCTAAGATCTGAGCCAACAGTAAAGGATTTCTCACATTCATTACATTTGTAAGGTTTCTCCCCCGTATGAGTTTTCTGATGTCTTCTAAGGTGGGCTTGCTGGATAAAGCATCTGTGACATTCACTGCATTTGTAAGGTTTCTCTCCTGTGTGAATTCTTTGATGTATTCTAAGAGATGCACCAACAGAAAAGCATTTCTCACATTCACTACATTTGTAAGTTTTCTCTCCTGTGTGAATTTTTTGATGTGTTTTAAGTTGGGATTTCTGGATAAAGCATTTGTCACATTCACCACATATGTAAGATTTTTCTCCTGTATGAATTCTTTGATGTCTTTGAAGACCTGAGGAGGTGGAAAGCGATTTACCACATTCATTACATCTATAAAGTTTCTTTCCACTGTGAGTTCTGTAATGATATTCAAGGTGTGACAATGTATAGAAGGACTTACTACATTGTTTACATTCGTAAGGCCTTTCTCCTCCACTAATCTGATATTTTCTAAGACCTAAGCAGCAGATAAATGGTTTTCTACAATCACTACATTTGTAAGTCTCCTCTCCAGTGTGAATTCTGTAACGTCTTTTAAAGCCCAGTGTATAATAAAAGCACTTGCCACATTCTGTACATTTGTAGGGCTTTTCTCCATAATGGATGTTGTAATGTACTTTGTGGTGTGACAAATAGAGAAAGGACTTACTACATTCTGTAAATTTATAGGGTTTCTCTGCAGGATGAGTCCTCTGATGTCTACTAAGGCTCAAATAGGTCCTGAAATATTTCCCACATTTCCTGCATTGGTATGGTTTTTCTCCACTATGGATTTGTTTCACCTTTAGCTTATGTTTATAGTCAAAAAATTCATCATACTCTGTATTTTGATGTTCTTTCTTTGCAGTGTGGATTAGTTCATATTGGCTAATAATGGGGCAGAAATTTAAACATTCTCCATAATCTTTATATTCATAGCGATCTTCTGCAGTGTTCCCACTTTCATGTCTCCTTGGGTTTGATGATTCAAGAGAAGTATCACTGTGGTTACCACTTCTGTAGTCCTTGCAGTTTTCTGTAGTATCACTTATGTTATAGGGTACACCTTGGGAGGATTCATGAATCATTTTGCCAGGCTTGTAACATTTATGAGACTTCTCTTGGGTATTCACATGCTGATGGACAATATGCTTTGAGCCTTGATCCAAGACCTTCTCATATTTACCACATATGCAATGGTTCTCTGGAAATTAGCACAATTAGGGATGATAATGATTAATGCTTGATGAAACAGATTCAGTGACTGGTGCATCCTTAACGTTCTCAAAGACAAACAAATTAGCAATTCTTAGGAATAGAACTCTCACTGGAGACCTTTTGTGTTTCACTATCATTAAATGGATGCTCAGAAGAGCCTCCACTCTGATCTCTGTCAAACCACAAGGACCAGTAATAGTCTTTTCATTCTTAACTAATCTACATATCTTGCAGAAGGTTGAACAGGTGATGGAGCAATAATATACTTTCAGAAAGGAGCTCTCTCTCTCTCTCTATATATATATATATATATATATATATGTGTGTGTGTGTGTGTGTGTGTGTGTGTGTGTATATCTCAATCCCAGTTCCCTCTCCCTCCTTCCCTCCCATGTCCCCTGACCCTCCCATCCCATGCATTTCCCCACCCCTACTCCACAGGGAGGGTGATGCCTTCCAGGAGGGATCATCAAAATCTATCAAATCATTTGGAGTAGGGACTAGGTCCAGCATTCTTACCTATAAAAACTAGATTGCTATAATTCTCCCACATTACATCCATGTACAGAGCCCTTTGAGATGAGTCAAGACATTCCCACTCCTCTTGGGAAAAGTCCACAGCCACATTCCTGAATGTCAACAGACCCTGCAATGGAAAATTACACATTTACCATGTGCTTCTGGACAAAATGGTTTCCTAGGTAAAAGAGACCAAAGGAATTAGAGACACTTTCATGATATAACGTCAGTGTGACATTATTCAAAGGAAAAAGTTTTCTAATAATGCTGCAGAGATGGATCAGAAGTTCAGAGCACTGGTGACTTCTCTGGAGGACCCATGTTTGGTTCCCAGCAACCACATACAGTAGATTATAACCAGTCCCAAATGTTCATAGGCTTAACATTAACCAGGGAGTTCTGATAAGTCCTGTGGTCCTCTGCTAGAGGACCACTAACTACCATGATCGGAGTCACAAGCTCAAGAATTTAAATTCAGTTTGGTTGTTTTCTAAGTACACATTAAACAGTGCTTCTCACTGGGCTAGAAACATCTGCCTAATCTATATACAACCAGTCTTGTGGAAACATCTAAGAGTGTTAATGCTTTTAACGAGAATCATTTTAGGTCCCCTACAACGTGAGTCTACTGCCTCTTCTAAAATGTGGGTGTCAGTACAGATTACAAACAGTGGGAATGCCACTGTGTCTACAATCTATCTCTTGGTAAACTCAAAAATAATTCGTGTAAATCTTATAAGCTTCGGGGAGTTGACTTAAATCCACCCTGGACAGGTCATCAAATGAACTCCAGATGACTACTGTTAACCAATACCCTAAGTTTCCCACCTACTGCCTGTTCCTGTGGGTGGGATCTCCCCTACCATTCTCTGCTCTTGGGACTCCCCTTTCTTAATTGCCAGGACCTAATAATATCCCCCTCCCCCTCCCCAACGTCTTAACTTTATCTTCTGCTCTGACAGCATCCTGCCAGGTGTCCTCTCAAAATCTGCAGCCTGAAGAGCTTGAAAATGGCTAGCCCGAAATGCTCCAATGCCACAGACTGCTTCAACCAGATCTGGACTTGCATAGCTCCTAGCACTGGACAAGCTCTCACAGAGCCTAGACAGCAAGTTAAACAGCTAGGTGTCCCAGGACTTGGCAAGCACCCCAGCTTTCTCAAGGCCACCAAAGATGTCAACACCCCCAGACACCAGGAAGCAGTCTGGACAACGTGGCACCCCCATTCCTGCCTCACCTGTTACCGGTCTCCCATTTTCTAATAAACAAAAGGGAGTAGTTAGCTTCTGCTGCAACAGTAGCAGCCTGCCTCTACACCAAAGCACTGACATCATCACCTGTTGCCAGGTGCCTTTCCATCTTACGCTTTGTGATACGTGCACCCTTTAAGAGTGCCCACCAAAGCACAGCAAACTCCCCTGGCTCGTTTTTTGTCACCTCTTTCCTCTCTTGCCTCTTCTTGACCCCACTCCAACACAGCCTTTCACTCCCCCTCCCCCAATGAACCTTCTGCACCAACTCTGGCACGTGTAGTGTGTTTGCTGAGTGGCATGCTTTGGCAGGTCCCACCAAAAGGCACCCACTTTGCTTTCTTTTTTATTTACCTTTTCATCTATATCTATATATTTTTAAAGATAAAAAAATTTTTCATTTTGCTTTGATTATAGTTTTAAATTATGCATAAAAACAGATTTTTTTTTTTAAGCTTCAAAGGAACAGTCAAGTCTGTGATTATGCACGGTGCTCATAGGATTCACTGGATGTCACTTTTCTGCCTTCTAATGCTCCACACTGCTGATCTCCCAAAAGGCATTGTGTGTGCCATCCCAGACTGTCTTCCTGTTGCTGTCTCTCTCTACAGACCTTAATGGCTGCAGGCTTGGCTCAGGGAACCTCTCTGACATGGGAACCTCTCTCCCTCATTCCCAGGCTTGGTTGAGATCCTGATCTTCAGTTCACAGGATCTTTGTTCCTAAAGGGTTAAATGTGGCACCCTGGAGATATGAGCTCTTCATGGGGTGAAACTTGACTTTAGAGAAATAGAGGAAGGAAGCAGCCAGGCACATTGTCCATTTCTGCTTAATTCCAGTTACTTCCCTGAGGGTGATTGCCCTATCATTCCGTCTCTGATGTGGAGCATGGAGGAAGCCCTCAGTGTGTTAAATCCCAAGTAGATGTGTATTGTTGACATGTGATTTGGGATCAAGAACCAATGGTTCTGTCCCATGGGAGTTTCAAGGAGTGTCAAAGCTCATAGGAATGGCAAAACCTTCCTTAGGTCTGGTGTAAATATGAACAGGTTGTGGAGAAAATGCATACCACTGCTTTCTCCCCAATGATGTATAGCTTTCTTCTTGGAATGCATGACTTTCTCCCTGGGATGTTTACTTCCTCAGGACTGTTCTATAGAAACAGCTCCTCCTGAGTTTAGGTAAACTTGCCTCCTTATTCAGCTGTACATAATAAACACACTGAGCTTCCAGGGCTGCTGTAGCTTCTCCAGAGTGCCCAAACCACCAAAAAATTTCTTTGAAAAATGTGTGGACATGACACTGACCTGGGGTACATCTACAGAATCATCCATCCTTTCTGTTGCTCTTCTCTGAGTTTCTGTTTCAGTAACAAAAACTGGAACTCTTCTTGACATTTCACATCAAGGCATCAAAAATAAAAAGTTAAAATTAATACAGTCCTGTTACAACAGTGTTAGATAACATTAAGAAAACACCCAAATGCAAAAGATAACAGAGAAATTATCAACATTCTTACAGATAGGAAAGCATGGAAGGATATATTTAGAGTGATGAAAGAAAATAACTCTAGGTCGTACAATTGCACCCAGAAATGCTGGCTCTTAAAACTCACAGGAAAGTTAAGTTCACTGGAAGAAAGTTACAAAATAACACAGGTCATACACTCCAGCAGCACTAAAGATCCATAACTGGAGGTAAACTACACATATAAAAAGCAAGAGAAATTATCCATCATACATAGAGAATAAAGACATTTTACATGAAGAAGGACAGAGGATAAAGAACAGAAGGACAGAGGAGAGCTGGGACTAGGATACCATACCCAACTCACAAAAAACAACAAACCATTATTTCTAACTGGAGGGAAGAAAAAGACTTAGTAATCTTATCAACCAGAATATTTAAAAAAAAAAAAAAAATCATTCAGAAATAAAAGCCCTGTACTATAAAAATCTCAATGGAAATGTCTAAGACAAAGTTCAACGAGATTTTATGATGAATTCCTAAAGGAACTAGGACAAAATGAAAGACATATCAACACAGTAAAGGGCACATGTGCCACACAGAGGCAAACCATAGAGTGCAGAGAAATAATGAACAACATTTGCAAGAAAACTATAAGGAGAGGAAAATGCAAACAATGTAAGGAAATGGATAAAACCTGAAGAGGGAAATAGAATCAATAAACAAAACACAAGCTCAGGAAATTCTGAAAATGAAAAAACAAGACAAAAACAGGAATTCAAAAGAGACCTACAGAGGAAAGCTTCATGAACAGAATACAAGGGATGGAAGACAATTATACCAGTCAAAGAAAACCTCCTGAAACAAACATCCAGGAAATCTGCAGCACGATGAAGAGAAGAAACCTATGAAAAATGGGGATAGAGGAAGGAGAAGAAATGCAACTCAAAGGTTGAGAAAATGTTTCAACATAATTACAGAACAAAAGATTCTAACCTAAAGAAGCAAATGCCTACAAAGCTGCAAGAAATATCCAGAACAACTAATACAATGGGCCATAAAAGAAAGACCCCTTGGTACATAATAACCAAAACATTAAGCATACAGAATAACAAAGACTATTGAAACCTGCAAGAGAAAAGGACTAAATAATATCTAAAGACAGGCCTACTAGAATTACACCTGACTTCTCAATGAAAACTCTAAAAGCCAGAAGGTCATGAACAGATGTGCTACAAACTCTAAGAGACCAGACATGCCAGACCAGCATCTTTACCCAGCAAAACGTTCAATTTACATCAAAGGAAAAAATGAAATATTCCTGGCTAAAGACAAATTCAAACAGCATCTATAAACAGTCTACAAAACCAGTCCTACAGAAGGTGCTAGAATATAACATCAACCAAATGAGGTAAACCACACCCATAAAAACACAAGGATAATCTCAGACCAGCAAAGGGGAAACACAAACACACCCACCCACCCACCCACACACACACACACACACACACACACAGAGAGTCACACTGACACACATGCTACTACTACCACCACCAACAAAACAACAGGAAAACAGGAATCAACAACCATTAATCACTGATATATCTCAATATCAAAGGTCTCAATTCCACAATAAAAAAAAAACAAAACAAAACAAAACCACACACAGACTAAGAGAACGGATTTGAAAACAGATCAGCATCCATCTCTTTGCATCCAAGAAATAAACCTTAACATCAAGGACAGTCATCACCTTAGGGTAAAGGGTTAGGAAAGAGTATTCTAATCAAATGAACCTATGAAAACAAGCTGATGTATCCATTTTAATAGGTAACAATATAGACTCTTCACACCAAAATTAATCAAAAAGGGAAAGACACTACAAACTCTCCAAAGGGAAAAAATCCACAAAGATGACATTTCAATTCTTGACATCTACAAACCAAACACAAGGGCACCCACGTTTGTAAAAGAAATATTTCTCCAGCTTAAATCACATATTGACCCTCAAACAATAATAGTGAAAGACTTCAATACACACTCTCACCAATGGACAGGTCACACGGACAATAACTAAAGAGAGATGCTGGATATAACAGACATTATAAACCAAATGGTCCTAAAGGTTGTTTAGAGAACATTTCGCCCAAACACAAAAGAATATGCCTTCTTCTCTGAAACTCATGGAACTTTCCACAAATTTTGACTCGCTTTTCCAAAACAAAGCCAAGTCTCAACAAATACAAGAAAACTGAACTAACTCCCTGCATCCTATCAGACCGCCACTGGATACTAACAACAGAAGCAACAGGAGGCTTAGAAATTCATGGAAACGGAACAACTCTCTAATAAATGAAAAATGGGTAAAGACACACAAAGGCTTTCTAGAATTTAGTGGAAATGAATACACAGCACACTCAAACTCACGGGACCCAATGAAAGCAGCTCTAAGATGCAAATTCATATCACTAAGTGCCTAAAGCAAGCAAGCAAACAAACAAACAAAAAAGCAAAACCCAGAGAGATCTGAGACTAGCAATTAAACCAAACACATGCAATCTCTACAACAACAACAACAAAAACACGTAATCATAGCCAAGAGGAGTAGAAAACAACAAGAATCAAACTCAGGGCTAACACTAAGAGCAAAGAGAGCTCTGAAACAAATCCAAGAGTTTGTTCTTAAAAAAAAAAAAAATCAACCATATAGACAAACCCTTATCCACGCCTATGAAAAGGCAGGAAGAATATCCAAATTATCAAAATCTGAAGTTAAAAGGGGATGATGTAAGAACAGACACCCAGGGAATACAGAGGATCATAACAGCATACTTTAAAATTCTACACTCAGTGTTCAGCTGTGGGTGCCTGCTTCTGTTTCCATCAGCTACTAGTTGAGGGCTCTATGATGGCATGTAAGTTAGTTATCAATCTCATTATCAGGGAAGGGCATGGGGGGGGGTGAGAAATAAGAAAAGTGTTCAAGACCAGGCTACAGAAACCCCCCAGAGACAGCTGACCTGAACAAGGGGGAACTAATGGACCCCCAGACTGATAGCTGGGAAGCCAGCATGGGACTGACTCAGACCCCCTGAACATGGATCTGAGTTAGAAGGCCTGAGCAGTCTAAGGGATCTCAGACAGTGGAACCAGGATGTATTCCTGGTGCACAAAAGGACTTTGGGAGCACATTCCCCATGGAGGGACACTCCCTTAGCCTAGAGACAGGAGGTTAGGACACTCCCTAACCTAGAGGAAGAAGGAAAGGCCCAGTCCCTACTCCAAATGGCTTGAGAGATGTTGTTGATCCCTCCTGGAAGGCACCACCCTCCCTGTGGAGTGTGTTGCGGGGGTGGGTGGGGTGGGGAGGGGATGTGTGTGTGTGGGGGGGGGTAGGATGGGAGAGAGAGAACTGGGATTGATATATAGACTAAGGAAAAAGAAGAACAAAAAAGAAACAAAAAGACTGGGAGAAATAGAGGGATGGAAACTGTTATAAATATATATTGTATGAGAAAAGAATAGAGTAAATGGAAACAAGTTAAAAAATAAAGGTAAATAAATAAAATAATAAATCCAATCCTATTAAAGCTCAGCAGCGCTACTGATGTGCTAGCACCCCTGTCTCTAGAGGACACAAGCAGGAAAATCCTCCCTAGAGGGGAAGCAGGAACAGCTGTGGGTGCTGTTGGTAAAAACCTGCTCCAAAGGGTTTGTGCAATCAATGAGCTGTCTTTGTGGAAACTATAGATACTTTCCCTGCTCTTTCCTGGTCAAATTATGCATGAATACAGTGCACAGAAGATCGGCGAAATAAAGAAAATTACTTATCCTTTACATCAAAGATGGACATTTCCTCATTTTAAGGCACTGAGAGACCAAACACCACCCAGACTCCTTTGTATTCATTATTACTAAAACTTCATATTTTAAATTTGTATTTTGTACAATGTAACAAAAATTTTAAAATAACTATGGAACCATGCTTGGGATAGACTCAGAAATAAATTAAAAAATAGTATTTTAGCTGGGCAGTGAAGGCATAATCAGGAATGTGAATGAAAGGGACAGCAAGCATCACTCATATTTATTTGACTTTGAGGCTTTCATAGTTAGTCTTCTAATACCTACAATAGAATAATCCAGAGGATGATCCTCAGTGGAATTCTCTAGAATCAATTCAAATGAAATAGAATGTGGCAAAATCAATTCCATGTCCTATTTCTACTGTCACTTGAACCCTTCCCCATTCCTTCATGCCTTCCTCAGTTCCTCTTAGATACCTGGATCCTCTGTTAATGTCTCCTCTCTCTACACCATCCAGAGCTTATTGTCTGATTGACAGGTGAGCAGGACTGGTTGAGCAGTTGGAGACCTGCATATGAGAAAGAGATTCTTCAGAAAGCACCTGGAACTTTCCATGGAACAAACGTGAAAGATGTTGACACCTGCAAAACGAGAGAGAAAACATCAGAAAAATGTCTCTTTCTCTGAGGATTTCACTTTACTTTGTGGGATGTGAGACTCATTCACACGCATGCAGAATAGTTTTTCAAGGAACCCTGAGCAGGAGAAAAAGAGACTGCAGAAAAACTATTCTTACCCACAGAAACCAGACTGTTGTACTTCAACAGGAGATCTCTGTAAAGTGAGCAGGGTCTAGGCATTTCTACTCCTCCTGCAAGAAAGAGGTCCACAGTCATGGCATGGAATATCAACAAACCCTAAAATAAAAAGCAACAGACTGGCCAAGCGTGCATGGGCAGAGTGCTTTTCTTGAATCATAGAGACATTTTACTGATCTAGGTCATTCAGCATAATTACACAAAAAGTGCTTGCTAATTTTGTTTTCATCTATAGTGAGTTTTCTAATTATAAAATG